TAGTTGAGTGTAAAAGTAAAGGTAGTGGAGCTAGCACACAGATAGGTAATTGAAACTGATGCTAGCCAGTAAGCATCATGCATATAGTAGAAATCACTCGGAAATGAACAACAGTTTTAAGAGTACACCACTGGAGCCCGTACGGTTTAATTATGGTAAGGTAGACAATTTCTGGAAAAGCGAGGTCCCCCCCCCCCGCTGGATTATCGCCCCTAGTCTATTGCAGTTTAAAAACAGATTCGTCTAACGCTCTCTCTCCCTTTCCCACCCTGCCAATAGTTGGCGAAATTAGTTGTTGCTGATAGGAAATGAACAACAGGTTTAAGGGTACACCACTGGAGCCCGTACGGTTTAATTATGGTAAGGTAGACAATTTCTGGGAAAGCGAGGTCCCCCCCCCCCCCGCTGGATTATCGCCCCTAGTCTATTGCAGTTTAAAAACAGATTCGTCTAACGCTCTCTCTCCCTTTCCCACCCTGCCAATAGTTGGCGAAATTAGTTGTTGCTGATATTGCCGCCGCATGCTCCTTCCATTCATGGTAAAAATGGCTGTTTGCTGTGATCAGTTCTATTGCATCAAAAGTCCACACATTGTAGTGCAAATTGATCTTGAAATGACAACGTCGGGGTTGGGGGCTGGGTGGGGGGGGGGTGGGGCCTTCGACGCTTTAGAATATTTTAAGCTTCGATGATTTTGAATATGTTTGTTCCGCCTGGTTAATTGGGTAAGGAAAGGTATCTCCGCAGTAAATACCGGTAGAGCTTGATGCATTTGTCACTTTCCTGATCTTGGTATCTGGTACTGGCTGTTCACGCTGGATTAGATTGGTTGTCTTAAACACATAACCTTCTCTGTATCAGCAAGTGAAGATTGGAAACTGAAGGATGTTCACAGCTCCGGGTGAAGTTGGACAGAGACCCGCCTCTGTCGCTTTTTCAGAGGGTGCCAACATTTTATGTGAATCGGCATTTAGATTTACTTGTATAGGAAGGGGGTGCCTAAATCTAGGTTTTTTTTGGTGGGGGGGGGGATGGCTCAGTTTCTGTTAGCCACCGCTGGGATATTGGAGTGGGAGGGTGGTTAGTGGGGATACTTTGCTTAGATTTGAATTAGTGGACTGCCTGGTTGATGATTACAATGTAAACATCCCAGAGAGATTCTCTAACCAACCCAACCATGAGCCTGTGATGCTTGTGTGTCACAAAGGTCATCACGGAGTCACTGTGTAGTTAAGGTCATACTTCTCCTGCCCACTAAGGTGTTTAAATGTGTGCTTAATGTATTTCAGCAATTTAAAAAAAAACAACAAAAAAACAACAAAAAACAAGAAAACAAATTTCCATGTGACCAGCCATACTATGGCAACTTGAGCGTAATTTAATCTTGACAATTTAAAGTTAGTTACAGACCTGGGTTTCAGTTATTTGAAATGTCAACATATCCAAATATTCTTGTTCGTTCTCTTATGGTATATGTTCTCTTATGGTATATAGGACTCAATGGCTCAATTACAAAAACTGTCCTCATGCAAACTCTGCTCTTGCATCGTCTCATATAAAATACCTCACATCCGATATGAAATACCTCACATCCGATATGAAATACCTCATGTCCGACTTAAATACCCCACGACTGATATAAAAATACCTCACGTCTAATATAAAATACCTCAGGTCTGATCTAAAATATCCCTACTTCTTCTTCTTAGCTGTTCTCACTCCAAACGGAGCATAGGCAATCCAAATACTTTTCCATCTGTCCCTGTCACGGGCTATCTTTGCAAGTTCAGCCCAGCTTTTCTACATTTTCTTCACCTGTCTCTACTCCCCTCTTCCATGTGGCTTTGATCTTCCTCTTTTTCTGGTACCTTGGTACCACGTCCATTGCTTATCAATGGGGGGGGGGTCCTTGATCCTGGTTTTGACTTTAACGGTTACGAATATGTCGGACCGGGGTCTTGGACGCTGTTCTTCGTGAGCGGCCGTGCAAGAGCGTCCTGCTCAGTCACGCTTCAGCAGATATTAATGTCGGTACCTTGAGGATTCAACATTTTGGGCCTGTCTTGTGGCGTTAATGTTTGGTTCCCTTAATTGGTGTCCTATCCATCTCCATTTTCTCAATTTTATCTCCGTTTCCAGCGGAACACTTGATGTTCTCTCTGGAAGGACAGTGTTGCGAATTTTGTCAAACCATTTTATTTTGAGGATCCCTCGCAAGCATCTGTTTTTAAAAACCTGCAGTTTTTTAATGTTTGTTTTTTGTTGTTCTTCAAGTATCACAGCCATACAGAAGAAATGCCTTGACATTTGGGTTGAATATTTTTAACTTTGTTTTTGTCAGTATTTCACTAGAGTTCCAGGTGTTTCGCAGGGCGTTGAATGCTCCTCTGGCCTTTTGGACCCTAGATTTAATGTCTTCATCTGTGCCACCATTTTTATTTATGATGTATGTGAAAGTCTCAACTTCCTCAAGAGATGCTCCTCTCATGCTAATCCCAATGACTCCATCATCCACTGGTTTTCCCTTTATTTATGCTAAATCCAGCTTGCTGGGATACAGAGTCAAGTGTTGTTGTTTTTATGGTACGGCTATGGGATAAAAGTCATCTGCACAATCCAAAGCCTCCAAATGTCTGAAAGGTGTCAACTGGATTGCATTATTCCCATCCTGTGTTGTTTCTCTCATGATCCAGTCAATGGATAACAGAAAGAGGAATGGTGATAGCAGGCATCCCTGTGGAACTCGAGACTATATCATAAATGGGTTTGTGAGTTCACCTTCAAGTATAACCCTGCAACTCCTATCCTTGCAAGTGTTCTTAATTAAGTTAGTTGGCTTTTGGGGTATACAATAATGTCCTATCAAATGCATTTTCGAGGTCTACAAAATTTAGGAACAATTATGCATTCAACTCCAAGTTCTGCTCTATGATTATGCGCAAGGTTGCAATTTGATCAGTACATCGGTTTTCTCTAAAACCAGCCTGTTCATCTCTTAGTTTGGAATATTTTGCTGTTTTAATTCTCTGCAGAATAATTTTATTTAGTATCTTTCCTAGTACAGAAAGCAGCATGATTCCTCTATAGTCTCTACATTCTTGGAGATCTCCTTTCTTTGGAAGTTTGACCAAGTATCATTCCTTCCACTCCTTGGGTACCTCTTCTTTTTCCCAGATAGTCAAAATTATCTGGTGAAGTAGATAAGCTTATTGATGACAGTTCCAGGTCTATCTTTAGTATTTGTGCAGGTGTTCTCATCAGGGCCAGCAGACTTTCCATTTGTCAATGATTTGATCTCATTTTTAATTTCTGTTTTCTTTGTTTCCATTGCAGTCGTTGAAGAGATCTTCTTCTGCAGGTAGAATTTCAGGTGGTTCGCGTGGGACTGGCCAATTTAGTAGTTCTTTGAAATATTTTAGCCACATTTTCTTTTTTTCATCTTTTTTTGGTTAGGTTTTTTCCCAATCAGTCTTTGACTGGCCTGCTTTGCCGATGATACTTTCCTGCAAGCCTCTTTGTTGCATTGTACAGGTCCCTTGGGTTACCTTTTGATAAAACACCTCACGTCTGATCTAAAATACCTCACGTTTGTCCTTGTTACACTTTGCTATTCATGTACTGTCACGAAACCACAGATTAGAGCCAAAATGTTTTATTTCTTCTATTTCCTTCCATATCCTGTGAAAGTAAAGAACAGTTACGATAACTTTTGAGAGTTTTTGCTTTACCTCCCTTTTGTAGTTCATTCACGCACATCATGGGAAACTACTCAAAATATAGCTGGCTTTTGAGAGGAATGTAGGGAAAATTAACAGGATTAATCCACCCCTACCCCTTATTTTTTCTTCTCTTTTTTGCCCTCCCCTCAACCCCCCCCCCCTTTTTTTAAAAAAAAACTCTTGCTGATGATTAAAATGATGTTAGAAAAAAGTCGCTGCAGCCAAAGACCAAATCATGGTGTTGATCTGTGTATCTGCAATAAGCTGCTGGTTGTTAGCTTTTAATTCATGACCATTTCTTAATTCTTCTTTGGTCAATTTATTTTAGTTCTATTCAAATATCAATTGCTCCCCGCCCCACACTGCCACACCACACACACAAATTGCGTAGGTCCTTATCAGAGCACATGAGCATATAAGCACCTTGCAGACACTTATTCTGGAGTGCATAAACGTTGTTTCATGTCATTTCCAAATTTAATTTTGACATCTTGTTGGAAGTTAACACCACTCACTGTAGGGAGAGATGCCCCTTACGTCTACTGCTAGGAAAAGACATTCTTAAATGGCAACAAACGCGGTTTGTGATTTAACGTAGCTGTCTGGGTTTTGAATTTCAAACTCTCAAGTCATGGTCTTACCATCATCAAGTTGTCTCTGGGGAGACGGTATCTTAATTGTCATGGAATTTAAAAATATCTTATTTATTTGTGATTAGGCGTGAGCTCGGTAAATGTCACAGGTAGTGAAGACATGTGATATTATGATGTCACAAGTAGTGAAGGCATGCGATATTATGATGTCACAGGTAGTGAAGGCATGCGATATTATGATGTCACAGGTAGTGAAGGCATGTGATATTATGATGTCACAGGTAGTGAAGGCATGCGATATTATGATGTCACGGGTAGTGAAGGCATGCGATATTATGATGTCACAGGTAGTGAAGGCATGTGATATTATGATGTCACAAGAAGTGAAGGCATGTGATGTTATGATGTCACAGGTTGTGAAGGCATGCGATATTATGATGTCACAAGTAGTGACATGAAAAAAAAATTATTCAACAAATCATGCCAAATGTCAGTGAAAAACTAGGAAATTAATATAAGTTTTATTTTTAAAAATCGTCCACATTTTGCTCAACTCATTATCGCAAAATATCCCCCCCCCTTAAATTGTGACAACAGCTGTCTTCAAGCCCATAAATTGTGACAACAGCTGTCTTCAAGCCCATAAATATTGACAACAGCTGTCTTCAAGTTCGTACAACCTCACCAAGATGGTGTGTTTTTCCTCATTACTGTTGGCTTTAAGTGCCATGTCCTACAGTCATGCAGAAGGTTAGTGTATTGTGATATTTTGTAACTAAATAAACTACAGTTGCATTGAACCCTTTAAAACATAGATATGTTTTTTTTTAATAAATCATGTATTTTTCACATTTATTTCAATGTCATATTTTATGCCGGCAGTACCAAGAAGTAACTTTGAACGTTTTGTGTACGTTTGTGTACGTTTGTGTACGTTTGTGTACGTTTGTGTACGTTTGTGTACGTTTGTGTACGTGTGTGTACGTTTGTGTACGTTTGTGTACGTTTGTGTACGTTTGTGTACGTTTGTGTACGTTTGTGTACGTTTGTGTACGTTTGTGTAAGTGTGTGTACGTTTGTGAAAGTTTGTGTACGTTTGTGTACGTTTGTGTACGTTTCTATACGTGAGTGTTTTACATTATACTCGGTTTGAGTTTTAGATTCAGTTAAATAACAGAACTAGGTATGCATGAGAAACTAAAAATTTGAACTCGTAGAGAAATGTCGCTTTGCTGTATTGGAAATAAAGCCTATGGCGCTCTATGTATTTGATTTTGTGAAGATAACTACAAAAATACTGAAGAGCTGCTCAATCATGTCTGAACTTGGAGCTGTTTTAAACAACCAAGCAGACCTATTTTGGTTGTTGTACTATACAAATATTTTAAAAAAAGATATCTTTACAACGAACAGTAGCAACACATTCTTTCAGACGTGGAACACTTTCCTGCAATCATGAATCAATTTTAAGTACACAATCTTGCTGCAACTTATTTTTATTTCAGTGCGCTCACCACCTAACATTTTAGAACCCCGTAAAGTAACTGTGAGATATGTGAAGTCTTACGGCAATTTCGTCGTCCCCTGCAAAGCTGAAAGTAAACCTGATAGGCCAACGTAAGTTGCAACAATTTTATGACTGATGTGATTTAGAGTTGTCAAGAAATATTCCTATATTATGTGCAGGAAAGTTTCTATAAGTTAAAATTGACCGATGTCTTAATTGTATAAATATTTTTCAGGATACATGTTCTCTGTTAGGGATAAAAACATTTTATTTATTTGTGCTCATTGTAAAATCTACCTAAAATACATTAAAAAATAAAGCAGTAGATTGATTGATTGATTGCATTAAATTAAAAATAGCTCATAGATACAAAGCACTATAAGGGGAAAAAAAGTAAATGTTAAAAAAATAATCATTCAAAAACAATGGAGCCTTTACGTAAAGATACATAGTTAGTACTCAATGGTGATAACTTGTAAATGTGTGCTATGAAAACTAGGTCATTTAAAACTTCAGTTTCCATAATTTATTGAATTTTTAAAATTTAACATCTTTCTTGTTATATTTTTTTTTCTTGTCCAGCTACCAGTGGCTGAAAGGAACAACACCCGTCGTCCCCAATCAGCATGTTGTATTTGATGCAACCACTGGTGACCTGTCCTTCACTGGTTTCACTTCCAGTGAGGAGGGGGTCTACATTTGTGTGGCCACCACCGTCTTCGGCGCCCAGGGTGCTGATAGAATCATTGCAGCAAGTTTTTCCGAGACAGTGACTCTTAATCAGATCCGTGAGTCTCTTGACTTAAAATTTGTATTTGTTAAGTTGACATTGCTCTGTAGTCTGTCAAAGAATACCTAGTGGCAAACCATCCGGCCACCCCAGGAAAGCCAAAGGGCTAGCTAGCTCCCAAGAATTGACAGTAAAAAGTTAGGAGTGGATTACCTACTGCTGACCACTATGACAGTCCCCGCCACTCCTGGGGAAGTACATGATCCTATATTAGGAGTCTTTGCGAATAGGGAGAATCTTCAATGGTACCTTGCGATTCCTCAGAGGTATCGAAGTCTTAGATCTTAGCAATGTGTAGTGACAAGGACGAAACGGCTACCGAGGAGAGCTGCCCAGAAGTAGAATATTTTACAAGTATGATTTTGGTAACTCATCTGGCGAAAATTGATCCTGAACATTTTAAACATCTCATTGCTGGGGCTGAATCTGTCTGTGGGTTGACAGGTGGCTGATTAGGCAGATTCTGGCATGAAAGTATTTGGTACAGGGGAGGGATGGGACAACTCCAGGTAAAGAGTTAACTCTTTTCAGGCTTGTCTTTTATGTATTACAATTAGTTAATAATAATAATAATAAAGTTTATTTGGACAAAAAAATTATTATTTAGTTAATTCTATTAGTCTCATTTTGCATTGAGCCATTGTGATGGGAGGAGCGCCAGGAGTCTCGATTATTTGAAGACTGTTATCACATGTCCGGATCTATGAGGTCTCAAAGATGCTTTAAATATGTCTTTTAAACGGTTCCTCTGACTCCTAACAAACATCCTATCTCTCTGAGTTCACCATAAAATATTCTTTTGGGCAAGAGTTAATTTGATATTCTCGCACCATGGCCTGCCCAGTGAAGCTAGGACTGCATTAATACGGTGTATATGCTGGGATGCTCGGGGAGACCTCAGTGTTTGGGACCTTGTGCTGCAATTTGATTTTGAGGATTTTTATGAGGCTCAATTATCCTATGAAAGTGTTTCCTAGCAGTGTGTTGATAGAATGTCTTGTTTCACATGCATAAGTAGCGTTGGGAGCACAGCTGCCTTGTAAACATTTATTTTGTTTTGGGTGCTCATGTCTATCCTTGTCCATACATTCTTAGACATTTTTCCAAATTGTTCGCTTTCCCTTTTAATTGGAATGTTCACCTCATCAATGGTTATGTTTTGGGGGCAGAGTGCTATGGTGAAAGCAGCTGTTTACTACTTTGAGCCTTCAGTAGCTTGTGCTGATGCTAATGTCTCTATGCCTGAAAGCATCAGAACATCATTATCAGTGGCGCTACAGACCAAGTAGGGCCCTGGCCTGCTCCACCACATCCTTCCATTTGGAAGATCCACTGCCTTCCGCCTCCATGCGTGAACCCCCAACTGGTGTGAATCCCTCTCCAAATCGCCAATCCATCTCAGCATATGTCCTGCCCAGTGCAGTCTGCCTTTTTTTAATTGTTCTGACTATGGGTGGATCTTCGTACAATTGGTATAGATCTTGGTTTGTACGGATTATCCAAATGTCATTCTCCATCATTGGGCCGTATATGTTTCTGAGGATTTTTCTCTCCCATGTATTGAGAAGGTTCTCTGATTTTTTGGTAAGGGTTCAAGTCTCACAAGCCTAAGTTACTACTGGTCTTATGATAGTAGTGTATATTGTCTTTGCTGTTGAAAGCATCAGAACATGATGTTGAAAAGTTTCTGTGTGAGGACACAAACTTGTTTTACGCCTTAGGACACAGGAAATGGTTAGACATCTCTAAATATTTATGTCTGAAATAACACCACATTTTCGTAAAGATAGTGGTGATGGTCATATTGTTGCTTTGTCTTTTCAGAATTAATTGGCTGGAAATTGAAACAGTAAGATTAGCATAGTATCCTTAGTGAAAATTTTAGTTTATCATCGCTTTTGTTTTTTTTTTAGTGCTGTATGACTTAATTTTGTGACGTAATTATTTTGTTCGGCTGAACTTTGGCGAAGACAGAAACGGAGAAAACTAGAGAATGAATTCTTAAATTGTTGCACAACAATATTTGATTTTGACATATATTATATAAGATTTGAGAGGGCCGTTGAATTCTAAATTCAGAATGCACAAAACAGCTCTACGATTTTGAATACCCCAGTTTTAATTCCACCTTCCTTTTGTTGAAAATATTAAATTGCTAAGTTACTTCACAAGGAAAATAATCAAGTAAGCGGAGGTAATCATCAAGGTTAGTTCGTTTTATTGTAGGAAAACCAGATGGAGCCCTACCAACATGGAGAACGACAAGACAGCATGCAAACATGACGTCGCTACACAACAAACAATGTGGTGTGCAAAACATTGAGTATTTTGTCATTTCCCAACACCTTTCACCCATTGACAACTGTTGATACTTATCAGACTATAGTATTATTAGCTGGAGATGAGATTAATGGATAATGATTCATATATATTTTTTTAAAACCAATTTTTCCTAAATAATAAATCTGAAGTTACCTTGCTTTTTTTTTTTTAAGGATGACATCATGTATTAATTATTCTCATTTCAATAAATTTTACTTTATGCTGTTCTTAATTTGAATTTGAGTCACCGTTAATTTCACCAGTTAATTTATTTTTACCAGGCACAGACTGTGATAATTTTGCTCTTGTATGTCCACTCAATATAAATAAATACCTATAAAGCAAACACATGTCAGCAAACCCAAGTGACCGTTGATTGCAATATAAACGTCTGTCATCAACTTTTAACTTGATCCCACTATGCATCTGAGTTATTATTGTATTCATTATATATACTAAATGTTTATTTATATCCTATTAAGTTAATCTATTATACGATTTTGAGACGATATAGTACGATTTTAGAAGTTTGAGGGTAAACAGGTCTGCATCTATATTTGCATATTACTTATTGGTGTTATTAATAGGAGTCAGAGTACATTGAATGTACTTCATGGTTAACAATAGGCCTAACCATATGCAATCTGTTCCTTGAGAACAATAAATTCAGAATCTTATCAATAAAATTATATGTAAGATCCTTTTTCAAAATTACTTTGATGTACATTGGATATTTATCTAATCAATTGAATTATTATTTTTTTTTTTAAAGTAAGCCGAAAAAAACAATTATATGTCAATTCTAGTTGTATCCTGGACTCATGGATTTTTTTTAGAAAATAATTTTTAAAAGCCTTTGAAAAGGCAGTGATAGAAATTTTTTTTGAAATTTTTTTTTTATTTTTTTACTCAAAATGTAGATTTGATCTTATTTTCACTTCTTTGTTTTGAATATTTTTCAGAACATACTGTTTTTTAGTTGCTCAATAACTTTAACCTCTCTCTTACTTGATCAAATGTTTCATGGTCTGAACTTTTATTTAATTAAAAAATTTCCAGTTAAATTCCTACTTTGATATAAAACTTGCCGACGTCTAAAAAAAATCCCCACTAATTTATAACATGTAATTTGTCGATCTGATCTTGGACCTATTATGTTTTAACATTTTATTTATTCTTAGAGTTAACAGTGATTCGTCTAATGTGATTGGAGCGCTGTTTATGAAAATAAAATTAAATTAAAAATGTCATTGACAGGTGTGGAGGCCTTCACAAACGTAACAGAAGTTGCCAAGTCTGCTGATGAGTATTCATACATGAAGTTAGAATGTTCCGATCAAGGAAAACTTGTTTCAAGTGACATTGCCATTAATTGGTACATAAGCGATGAAAGTATACAGGTTCCAAATGAAAACGGCCGTTTATTCATTGATCAGAAGGGTAAGTACAGATTTGGTTAGTCTTAACGATTTCTATATTTCATCGATTGTATGCCAATACCTGTCAAAAGATTTTTGTGACAGAGTAAAATGTAAAAAATGATTTAGTTCTTTCCTGATTTAAAACAAGGTTTGGCTTGTAAGATTTTGGTCAAAATTTAGTTTTTAAATCCAGCTGCGAATAAACCGAGGAATATGATTGGGGGATATAATTGAGATTTGTTGAGGATGTTAGGTTAACCCTAACCTGCAAAACCAAGTTTCAACATTTTTTTTTAAAGGGAGATTTCAACTTAGTACAATACAACTCACATGCTAAATTTAACACATTTTGTGGTACGCCAAGTGTAAAATTGTTTTATGTAGTAGTTATTATTATCATTATATGGTTTTTATCAGCTTGTCCTTAGAGCACGATGGCTCCTATCTTCATCAAATACACCCACAAATTATTTATAGTTAGCCCCAATTAGAAAATACTGCTCTCCGGTATTCCTTCATTGATGCCACCCCTCTCGCATGGGCGATCGAGTGGGAGGCGGGTGGAGGTGTCTCAGGGGCGGAACACCTTCGCTGCCCGAATAGAATTTAACGAGAGTTGTGTTAGGTGGAAGCGGGGGTATGTTGAGGAATATATAATGAGCTCTGACGCGATAGTCTGTTGTTTTTCTTCAGAGAGTTAGTGAGTTTCAAGGAAACAGTCCATGCATAATTAAAAATTAACCACCTTCATATTATTTAACAAACTCTTGTGCTGAAAAAGTTGAAGATTTTCTGTATTTAGTTATGAAATCGATGGGAATTTTAGTTTTGAAAGAGCGTTGGAATCATGTACTACTTTAATAATAGCGGTGGCTGAAAGTAGGCTGCAACAGAAAGCCAAACATAATAGAATAGAATAGCTTCTTTCAATTGTGAAATCAACGTTAACAATTATTGGTCTGTTGTGAAATATTATGACACTGTATTATCTTATTACAAGATATCTTACTATTTTGGCAATACATGGGTAAAAAATGTCTGTAAACTGTTGAACTGCGAAATAACTTACTTACATAAGTATGCCTTTTTACTCCGTCTGGAGCATAGACCGTCTACAAAAATATTCCACTCGTCACGGTCCTGTGCTTTCCTTTCCAATTGCTTCCAAGTGCATCCCATATTTTGCGTGTCTGCCTCTACCTCGCGTCTCCATGAATTCTTAGGCCTTCCACTCATTCTTTTTCTCTGTGGGTTCCATATTAGGCATTTTCTGGTGGTGCTATCTGGGGGTTTTCAGAGCGCATGCCCTATTCACCTCCATTTTTTCTTTATAATATCTTCATCAATGGGCACAACCTGGTATATCCTTTCTAGTAGATCTTTGTTGGCGATGGTGTTTGGCCACTTGACGTTCAGGATCTCTCTAAGACATGTGTCTATGAATTCTGCACTTTCTGCGTATTGCTCGCTGTTGTTTTCCAAGCTTCTGCTCCATATAGTAGGACTGTTTTGACATTTGTGTTAAAGATTCTGACTTTGGTTTGCAGTTTCAGCTCCTTCGACTCCCATCTTTTCTTTAATAGCACAAATTCTGATCTAGCTTTTCCATCTCTATTCCTCACTTCAGCATCGGATCCGCCATTTTTGTCTACTGTTCTGCCTAAGTATGTGAAGGACTCCACTTCTTCCAGTGCCTTTCCTGCCAGACAGATATGCTCTTGGTTGGACGAGTTTACCTTCATGAATTCTGTATTTTTTTATTTATATTTAGTCCAATCTGTGCTGAAATGGTGGCTACATCATTTGTCTTTCCTGCATTTGTTGCTGGTTGTGGGATTGAAGTGCAATGTCATCTGCAAAGTCAAAGTCATTCAGTTTTTACCAGAGACTCCACTTATACCATTTCTCTTTTTGTCTGTGGATTTTTTCATTATCCAGACAGTGGCAAGGATAAATAGAAATGGGGACAAGAGGCATCCTTGTCTGACTCCTGTTTCGACTGTATGGGAATCTGTGAGTCTACCTTCGTGGACCACCCTGCATGTCATTTCTCCACAAGAGCACTGAATGATCCTGACTAGTTTCCCAGGTACTATGAAGAAGATTCCACAAGGTTTGTCGGTCCAGGCTATCAAAGGCCTTTTTGTAGTCATTAAAACTTATATATAGGGGGGAGTTCCATTCGATGGACTTTTTTACAAGGATTCTAAGTGTTGCAATTTGATCTCTGCATTATCTGTTTTAGCGGAATCAAGCCTGTTGATCTCGTAGCTGCTTGTTAACCTGGTCTTTCATTCTATAAAATAATTCTGTTAAAGATCTTTCCTGGTACAGACAGCATTGTGATTCCTCTGTACTTTGCACAATTGTTGATATCCCCTTTCTTATTTGGTGAGCTTTCTTCTATTGGAAGTCTTCATTTGCTGGGTGCATGTCTGGGTTGTCTGTGGGTTGGGGTCTGTTTAAATAGTTCCTTAATGTATTCCACCCATCTTTTTTATTGCTCTTTCCTTTATGTTATTGATCTACCTTCTCTATGTTTGACAGGTCTCTCCGAACTTTTGTCTCTTCCTGACTGCTTTCTTGTAATGTCGTAGAGGTCTTTCAAGTTTCCCTACCTGGCTCCTTCTTCTGCTGTTGATGCTAGGCCATCTATATAGGCATTTTTGTCTTTTTATGATGTTTTTTTACCTTTTGTTTTGCTTCTTTATATTGCTGTTTTGCTTCTTCCACCCTGATGTGCCTGCTGTTAACTATACTTTTTTCTTTTCTCTCTTTTATTTTTTGTAGTGTGTTAAGTGAGAGCCAGTCTTTGTGTTTCTCCTTCACTGATTCTAAAACTTCTTGGCAAGCGGATGCTACAGACATCTTTATATTTTGTCATTTATGCTCTACTTGTTCATTTCCTGCTTGGTCATCCAGTACTTGGAATTTATTCCATAAGGTAGGACTGATTCCTCTCTTTTCTGCTCATTTGCCAGAGGGCCTACATTGAATTTTGTTCGCTTAGCAGTTGGCTGTTCCCAGTTTTTCAAGTTTAACTTGATTCTCGCCCAAACAAGATGATGATAGGATGCGACATTTGCTCCTCTTATTGCTCGTACATCTTGTAAAGAATTTCTAAATTTTTTGCTGATAAACATGTGATCTATTTAGTTTTGCGTTTTGTTGTCTAGGGATACCCATGTTATCTTGTGGATGTTTTTATGTTTAAAGTCGCTTCCTCCAATAAACAAGCTCATTTGTTGCGCAGAAGTCTGCTAGTCTCACTCCGTTCTCATTCCTCTCTCCTACACCATGGCGTTCCATGATTTCCTCATACCCACTGTTGTCTTTTCTAATTATAGCGTTAAGATCACCCATTAAGATGTCGAGGTCTTTATTTGGGAATATTTAACTATGGCTTGTAGTCTATTGTAGAATGTTTCTTTCTCTTCTTCTTTGCTATCGTTGGTGGGATGCGTAACACTGTATTATTTTGATCTTTATTTTATTTTTCTTGGTTCGGAAGGTTGCTGTTATTGTCCTTGGTATTATCCAATCAATGCATCCTGTGCCTTCCTTGGCAACATCAAAGTGACTCCTTGCGTGTGAGGAGTATCTTCCTCCTCATGCACCGAGTACATTAGCATTTCTCCAGAGACCAAAGTTATTTCCCCAGCTTGTATCCATCTTGTTTCACAGATGCCAACAGTGTAAGTCTGTAAGATCTCATTTCTGCTGCCCGCTGCGCTTCTTTTTCCTGCTTCATACACTGTTCTGGCGTTCCACGTTCCTATGTTTGTTTCCTTAGAAATAAAAATCTTCATCTATGAGGCTTCCAGTATAGCCTGGGTTTGCCCACAATGCTTCATATCTCTTCTTGGAGAAGAAGAGTCCTCTCATCTCAGGGCTGAGATTTTTTGTTTTTTTCTTGTTGACGTTTCTTTAGCAATATGTTTTTACGGGTGAGGTAGCTGGCCTCACGCCAACCCTCCTCCTAGCTGGCCTCACGCCAACCCTCCTCCTAGCTGGCCTCACGCCAACCCTCCTCCTAGCTGGCCTCACGCCAACCCTCCTCCTAGCTGGCCTCACGCCAACCCTCCTCCTAGCTGGCCTCACACCAACCCTCCTCCTAGCTGGCCTCACGCCAACCCTCCTCCTAGCTATCCTCACGCCAACCCTCCTCCTTTTGCACCCGGGCTTTGGACCGGCCTTGACGGAGTTTAGCTGCAAAATTGCTACCAATATATCCATGTCTTGCCAAATATCCCATTAGGGAACATAAATCAGTTGCTTTACAGCAAGCTAAACTGCTGCTCCGTTTAATGGTGAAGATACCAAGGTGGTAACTTCTTTTAGCTATACAAAATGGATGATTCTTACGCTTCAAGCATGCCCAGACAGAAAATAAAAATATAAATATAACACTGAGTTAACAGTTCATTTTATTATTTAAATTCTTCCAGGCTTCCGGTTGACAAGTCTGCTGTGGCTTGCCGATTAGGAAGCGTCGGCCACCGACCCCCTCGGCGTTTGCCTGGAAACATAACTACTGGGCACGCCCCGCGTGGGCAGACAAAGGATGTGCTCGGTACCTGCCGTACATAAAACAGCTCCCACAGGGCTGCCGGGTGTGATATTTCGCAGTCGGAAAGTTAGGCAGAGCCAGGGTAGGGATCATGATTACAAGTTGCCGTTGACGGGTATGAGGTCAGAGGCGAGGGTGGTAACCTCTGGCCGAGGATTCAATTAATGCAGCCGTGAGAAGCTGTCCCTAGGCAACCGTTTCGTCCCAGCTACATCGTGAGCTAGTCGCGTTGTGGAAACCCACTGTGGAATCCCTCTTATAGGGCGTCCGACGCTTTCCCGGGATGGGAGGGGGAAGATATTAGGACGTAAATTTTTTCCATCCCAACTCCTGAGAGAGTCGATCGAGTGCACTGTTTAAACGCATAGTGTCGGATCGACGGGTGCCTCCTGGTTGGGGCGGCCCCCAGGCGGGGTCCTGGTCGAGCGCCCAGGCGGGGGACTTGGGTGAGGGGCCCGTGTGGGGGCCGTCCTGACGAGTGGGCATCTCCGACGTGCCGCTCCGCGGCCCGATACGTCGGACCGGGGAGGGGTAATTTGGGGGGGTGGGGCATAAGAGTCTAGACTCGCCCTGCTGACGCCATTTCTTAATGTAATGTAACATTATTTAAATTAAATAAAAGACCTGTTTACACTCAAACTCTTAAAATCGTACAATATCATCACACAATCATTCAATACGTTATGTTAATAGTAAAATAATAAACTTACACTATTATAATGTATACACATCAAAATCGTACATTGTACCCCAAAATCATAAGAGTAAACATGTTTTAAATAATTATTTTAAAAAATTAAATAAATAAAATGCGTTTAATTCAGCTATTTTCGACAACTTCATTCAGTTCAGTGAAAATGTATATTCACTAACACACTATTATTGGAACTTAAATTTAGCAATAGTATTTTGTGCAAACAAATATACAGGATTGTTCAGTGCATCAATTCAATGCGACACAATGAATCTATTATTATAAAAAAAATGTAGTAATTTTTAATTCAAAAGCAATTACTGAGTTAGTCCTCTATAGTAAATCGGGATTTGGAAACAGTCTTATTAAACATAGCTCAGAGAATGCATCCTCTTGTTAAGTTTTTAAAAATTAAGCTGAACTACTTATTTCTTGTTTTCATTAGGAACCCTTCACTTTACTTTTGTCAAAAAGTCTGATGAAACAACCGTCTTTCCTTATCTTTGTGGCGTTTCGAGTGCAGAGGAAAATATAAGGCATTATGGACGTAAAAATACCTTACAAGTTAGAGAGGTTGCTAGTGAGTGTCATTTAAATAGATAAAATGATGATTTAGAATTGCATTGATGTAACAATGAATTTAAAAAAGATATCAAAACTTGAATATTTTAAAAATATTGTTTCATTATCTTATGGAATTCTAAAAAAAAATTAAAATATAGTAGTAGAACTTCTAACTTTCCCATTCAGGGGAGTTCCTAATACCTGTTAGATTTTTCTAAAACTTGGTTCCAAAAAATGTGGGTAGGGCTAATGAAAACGGACCAATTTTTTTTTTTTTTTTAATATAGCACTGAATAATTTCTTTCATTTTAATTCATGGTAATATAATCCAATCCAAGTTTATAGAGTCAGACCATGGGAGTTAAGCTGATATGAAAGCAGTAAAACGTCACTTCCTCTTTTCTCTTTAAATTAATCATTTTTTTTCTTTGTATGTGGTCTTACCTCTTTCATTTCTTAGTGGAATAATTTCAATTGCAATTCATAATATCAGATGTGAGCATAAGTTCAACAAAGAATTAAAGTCCTGGTCAAAATGTGTTTTGCACAAGCTGTGTTAAAAACATGGCTTAACAGATCTGATGCAACTGTAGACTGACTAAATTATTTTTAAACAAATACATTTCAATATGCAGTAATTATATTTTTTATAAGATTTCAAATAAATTGTTTAATATTTTTTTAAATTTTTAACCCACGCTAAGTAGTTTACAAGATGTTAAATTAATTTTCCATAGTCAAATGCTCATTTTATGTTCTTTAAAATGTTTTAGGCAGCTGTAATACCTTTTATTTTTGAATTACGTATTAGTGGTGTCATTCGCTTTTTATGTGCTTTGAATTATGTATTAGTGGTGCCACCTGTTTTGATGTGAATGAATTACGTATTAGTGCTGTCAGTCTTGTTTTTGTATGTGCCTTTTTTTCATTTAAAAAATCTGGGCTCCTAATTTATGTCTTCTAGAGATCCCAAACTAATATCACGTATGCTAAATAATAACAAAATGTTAATAATAATAATACTCTCAACCAGGTCCCACACCTGTAAAGCCATTGCTGCAATACAGTAACAATGGTGTGGTGGCTAATTTGAACAGTACAGCAACCCTGGAATGTGTCTTTTCTGGATAGTGAGTAACTGACATTAAGTGTTAAAGTTTTTTTTTTAAAAATATTCATTTCATTTGGCTTGATTTTACTGAGCTTCTTAAATGGTCAAATACGCCACTATACTTCACAGTGATGGAATAATGACATACATAATTTTTGTGTTTAAATCATTTTTATATATTAAGGTACTGTTTGGGTTACTCGACAAGTGGGAATAAATATTTACAATAAACATCAATAAGCTTTATTCTGAATCCCAATCATAAGATCCTATCATCAGAAGTGGAGAAATCAGTCTTCCATCAACAGCATTTAGGCAGACGTTTGGCAATTTAGTTGTGTTAAATTTAAATGTGACTCAGACACTTTCACAAACAATCAAAACTCGCACATATTTTATTTGGTACAAAATTTATAAAAATCATATAAAAACTCATCTAACATCTGCATTTAAAAAAAAAAATATGATATCAATCATTTAGGCTGATGGCTGTTTATTGGTCCATCTCTTGTGTATGGGCATTATTGTAAACATTTTCCTTTATCAAGTCAGAATAATATCTTATTATTTCGGACATCTACAGAGCAAAAAAATGGGTTAATGAGGCACTATTTGTTTTTAAATAAACGGTATATTTTAAGCTTTACTTATTATTACACAAAATACAAATTCAAACGTTTTGGAAAAATGCCTTTATCGGTATACCAAAAAACCTCACATAAGTATAAATTAAATTTACATATTATGTAATCATGCTTTACCTAAAAATGCAATAAATACAATTTTTAGTACAGTAGAATTGGAAGTTGATTTTTGGAATCAAAGCTGATTTTAATATGCAAGTGGATTAATTAATCTTTAAAATTACTCTAAATACCTTTCTTCATCAGAAATTTAAATGATGTATTCCAAATGTGAATTTTACACACTGGAAATGCCGAATGTTTTCATTTCACTCAATCCAATTTTTTACATCCATCCTTCCCTGTGGTGCTACAACCCATGTAAGGTTTTGGCCTGCCTCACCACATCCTTCCATTTAGACCTAACTGGTGCTTTTCTTTTCCATGCTTGGATTCCCAGCTGCCGTAGATGTTTTCCCCCATCATCCATCCATCTAAGCCAAGGTCAACCTTTGAGCCGATTTCCTCTCTGGGTATTGGTGTTGCACCCTCTTCACTCCTCGATCATTTGGCATTATTACTAAGTGTCCAGTCCAGTTCGGTCTGCCCCTTTGTTTATTTCTGCTACAATGTTTACACAAAGTTCAGTTTACCCTGCAACCCTATTGCAACACATTTTGTTCTTTTAAAATGATCTTAATAAGTCACCAATCCATCCTTATAAACATTTATTTTAAAACAACTTCAGTGACCCCCAAGCTCCACATATACCCAAAATTAAGTGGACAATGGATGATGGCAGTGAAATCTCAAGCGGTGGAAGATACATCATATCAGCTGAAGGCCGAACCTTGACCATCACGTCTGTGACAGAGGAGGATGAAAAGAATTACTACTGTTCTGCTGAAAATAGCGCAGGCGCAGTTCCTGCTCAACCCGTTCTGTTGAATGTAACATGTGAGTCATTATTTTAATTTACCAAGTCTCAGTGCTACTACTTTCTGGAACAGTTGCCTTTATTTCCTGTAACTTGTGCTCAGAAAGTGGAAAATGGAAGACAGACTTTTAAATCGGGGTTTCAAACTCAGATTATTCGGGGACCGCAGGAGGTAGAGTCTGAGTGAGACTGGGCCGCAGGAGGTAGAGTCTGAGTGAGACTGGGCCACCGGAGGTAGAGTCTGAGTGAGACTGGGCCGCAGGAGGTAGAGTCTGAGTGAGACTGGGCCGCAGGAGGTAGAGTCTGAGTGAGACTGGGCGGCAGGAGGTAGAGTCTGAGTGAGACTGGGCCGCAGGAGGTAGTGTCTGAGTGAGACTGGGCCGCAGGAGGTAGAGTCTGAGTGAGACTGGGCGGCAGGAGGTAGAGTCTGAGTGAGACTGGGCCGCAGGAGGTAGAGTCTGAGTGAGACTGGGTCGCAGGAGGTAGAGTCTGAGTGAGACTGGGCCGCAGGAGGTAGAGTCTGAGTGAACACGGGGCCGCGGGAGGTAGAGTCTGAGTGAGACTGGGCCGCAGGAGGTAGAGTCTGAGGGAGACTGGGCCGCAGGAGGTAGAGTCTGAGTGAGACTGGGCCGCAGGAGGTAGAGTCTGAGTGAGACTGGGCCGCAGGAGGTAGAGTCTGAGTGAACACTTGGCCGCCGGAGGTAGAGTCTGAGTGAGACTGGGCCACAGGAGGTAGAGTCTGAGTGAGACTGGGCCGCAGGAGGTAGGGTCTGAGTGCGACTGGGCCGCAGCAAGTATTACACAAAAAGTGATCAAAAATTCAATAAAGTACAACTGTCTGAATCATTCGCATTAAGTGTCATTGTTAACGGCACTATATCCTTAGTAAGAAATCAAAATTCTCGGTGATCTAAAGTAAAATTATTCAGCTAATAAATGCTATGAAAATAATGGTAAACAAAGACGAAAAAGAATAAAATTAAAATAAAATATGGCGATTCCCAATAGCGATTTTAAAACTAAAAACGTGTTCAAACAGAAGGCAACATCTATGAATTATTGATGCCAAGGAAGTTGCTAGTGTATTATAGGGAGAATAAATTTTTATTTTTGTATCCCTATTTTGAAAGTGCCATAGCTGACAGGCTCAGATCTTCCCTCACTCGTCACTCGTACACAGATATGTATATTCAATATTCGAAGCATGTTTACTCAAAACCGCACTTTGGCCACGTTTGTCTCATAAAGTGCTATAAAATATAATCTTTTTTTCCGATTTTAAAACTGTTTTTACCATTATAATCAACTTTTAAACCTTTACAAATATAATAAAATCAGAGGTAGAATTAGTCGGTGAGATTTGACAGAGGATTACATTATAGATATGATAATGGGGAAAACGCGCGGGCCGTATTAACCCTTAACTTTGCTGTCAGGTAATGGGCCGCAAAATATTGTCTAGCGGGACTCTAGTGGCCTGTGGGCCGTGAGTTTGAGACCCCTGATTTAAATAAATGAAGGAATTCATGGGTTCAAGCTCTTGGAAGGTAGAACACGGTATGTGGAAGCTTGAACTATAAAGACAGGACAATAAAAAGAGAGCGTTTCGGGTAAGAGCCTTCTTCAGCGGACAGGACACAACAGCACACAATTTTTGCTTTAGAAAACATTTCGGCAATGACAGCATTCAGAAAGTCTTCTATGTCTTGTTTTCTCGTCTGTCCTGTCTGCTTGTTTCTTCTATTTCCGTAAAAAATGATGCAAAGAAAGGAACATGTTTAGTCCTAAAGCTGTTGCAATCAGCCTTCCTCAAACATTTGTGTGTGTGTCCTGGTTATTACTATTATATTTCTTTGTCACCCACTTAAATTATCATTAATACTGACCTGTAGGTACCACGAAGCAGATTTGATTGTCTGTACAGATTTCACGCATTAAAATAAAATACTCTTGCACAATTTTGAGAAAAATTTAACTAAAACCATTGAAGGGTCACTTTGCCTCCGTGAGACCGTATGTCTCGTATGAGCTCCAGTATTGCTTGTGCCATCTTCTTGTCCAAAGAGCACCGTTTCACAATGTCTAGAGCACATTTTGAATTGGTGAACACTACGATGGATTGAAGTATTTTGCGTCTGGCTAGCCGACGGCGATCTTGTTTCAGGCCCATTAATGTAGCTTCGACTTCTGCATCTGTTGCAGAGCTATTCGTCGCTCTTGGGCCTGAAATCTCCTCTGTTAGAGGTACCCCTTTGGGTACTGTAGTACTGTATGAGTGCGCCGTATCCTGCCCCCTTATCGCTAGCAATATAGGAGCCATCTTTGAAGACTGATACCATGTTGTCTTTATGAGCCTCAATCGTATCTAGTGTGGCCCCCTTTTGCTCAATTTGTGGACTCGACTTGTTAAACGCCGTGTTTGACAGGTTAAGACGTACATCATGTGGTTCGCACCTATCCTGTTGTGATCTCTCCTGGATCAGGCGTATTTTCTCTGTTTCCTGGTAAAGGATGCTTATTGTGGAGTGCATCGACAGCATTCATGAAGGAGAGTCTTTTAAGCCTTACCCATCGATCTTGTAATTGGAAATAATGTTCCATTCTTTCCATTCGACGGTAAAGCCTTACGGTCGTTAGAATAGCTTTGTCCCTCTTGATGTGGAGTGGTTCTATGTCTGAGATAATTTCCACGGCGGCCGTGGATGTAGTACGTATAGCCCGGAATACGAATCTTAGAGCTAGATTCTGTACCCAGTCCAACCCTTCTAGAGCCGTACAGCTTGCAAAGGCTTGCACCGAGAGGCTGTAGTCCATGGCACCTCATACGCTCCTAAGATACAAGGTTCTCAAGAGTTTTGCGTCAGCTCCCCAGGTGGTGCTTGCAAGTTTTTTTTATCAGACTGAGTTTGGACGTCTTTCTATATTTATTTGTTAGAGAAACTTGTGCTAAGAAGCGCACTTTACAGAGGTCATGACTATCTGCATTAGAATTATTATCCCCATTTTTCTACTTTAAGTTGATATCCCTATGCAGTAAACCCATAAATCTCAATGGGTTATTTTCTCGAAGATGAGTGCCGATATCCCGATGGCAGTACACCCACAAGTCTCACTGGGATTGTTACGCACTGGCTTCTATTGTGAGAAATTAATCTCTTGTTTTAAGTTATGGCTCCTTCACACACTGCACAACAAAGAACGATACCATAGAGAAATACAATAATAAAGATACGTCACGCAAAAACAGTTGCCAACTACAATTCATAAGATTTACTTTAGTAATAATACAATTACTAAACCAAAGAAATATAATTACAAATCATCAACTTACAGAGTATGGGAAAATCTTGTACCGGTACACAATTAGTACAATGTGCCAATTAATAATGATGAATGATGAATGCAAATAAACACATATGGGTACACAAAGAATAATACGCGTCTCGTAAAGTCAATAATATCTATCTGAATCTCTCTCTCAGTCTCTCATTGTTATTGCTCTCTCTGCTTTTATAGTAGGTTCTACCGAAAAATCTAGGCGTATTCCGGATGGTACTAGTAACTAGAATAGTCCACAATTCACTCTACTTTTCGAACGCCTTCAAGAATACAAGAAACCGGCGATAGATCAAAGAGATTAAACCACACCCACTGGGAAAAGTGTCCTGCATAACAGGGATGCTCTTTCCAAGATGATATCCCTATGGTAGTACACTCACTTATGTCACTGGGATGATCTGTTCAATATGATATCTCTATGGTAGTACACCCATTTATGTCACTGGGATGATCTGTTCAATATGATATCTCTATTGTAATACACCCACAAATCTCACAGGGGCAATCTGTCCAAGATAAGTGCCATATAATAGGAAAGTACTGGACAAGATTTTATAATTTGATAAATTTTAAAAGCTCTTGGATAGTAACAGTTTAAAACTTTTATTTTCACTGCCACAGTTGCTCTTTAAATGCTAACACGCACACATGCTACAGCTTCTCTGTGAATTCTTACATGCAAACATGCTGAAGCTTCTCGGTGAATGCTAACATTCACCAATGCTACAGCTTCTTTTTGAATGTTAACATGCAACCATTCTACAGCTTCTCTTTGAATGCTAACATTCACCCATGCTACAGCTTGCCTGTGAATGCTAACATTCACCCATGCTACAGCTTCACTTTGAATGCTAACAACCACCCATGCTACAGTTTATCTTTGAATGTTAACATGCACCCATGCTACAGCTTCTCTGTGAATGTTAACATGCACCCATGCTACAGCTTATCTTTGAATTGTTACATTTTGCACCCATGCTGAAGCTTTTGTTTGAATGTTAACATGCACTCATGCAACAGCTTCTTTTTTAATGTTAATATGCACCCATTCTACAGCGTCTCTTTGAATGCTAAAATTCACCCATGCTACAGCTTGTCTTTGAATGCTAACATTCACCCATGCTACAGCTTATCTTTGAATGCTAACATTCACTCATGCTACAGCTTCTCATTGAATGCTAACATTAACCCATGCTACAGCTTCCCTATGAATGCTAACATACACCCATGCTACAGCTTGTCTTTGAATGTTAACATGCACCCTTGCTACAGCTTCTTTTTTAATGCTAAAATTTACCCATGCTACAGCTTCTCTGTGAATTCTTACATGCACCCATGCTACAGCTTATCTTTGAATGCTAACATTCACCCATGCTTCAGCTTCTCTTTGAATGCTAACATGCACCCATGCTACAGCTTCTCTTTGAATGCTAACATTCACCAATGCTACGGCTTATCTTTGAATGTTAACATGCACCCATGCTACAGCTTCTCTGTGAATGTTACATTATGTATCCATGCTACAGCTTCTTTTTTGAATCTT